TGTAAATATCTACATTGGGATCGGCTGCCCCTGAGGTTTCTGACACGTGAGGTGGTGACCTCACCTTGCCTCATAGGTGGGCCAGCCCTGACTGGCGACCTTCAGACAAGTGTCTGATAATGTGGAGGCCTGTTCATGTGATATCTCTCTGAAAGAGAGGGAAGGAATTGCTAATGGGTCCTTTGTGGAACTAGCTATTCTGTGAAGACTAGCTCATATGTTATTATATCAAGGCCCGGAAACCTGTGGCCCTTCAGATGTTGCTGGACCCCAACTGCCATCAGCCCAGACCACTAGCACTGCTGGAAGTTCAAGTTCCCCATCCCTGCATTGCATCACCACTGTTCCATTACCACACAAATTCCCTAAGTATCATATGAACAAGAGCTCTGTAAAGACATGGTCTTCACTTAGGGAAGATAGCAAGTCAAGCTCTCAATGACTTTTCTCATTCATGTATCACTCTTTGTTTCTTTCCATAATTATAAGGAATGGAGGAACAGTTTTCCTGAACAGAGGACAGGCTGTATCAATCAACGCCCATGGCTTGTTATTGTACAGGTTGCCATATGTAGCCATGGAAACATACAATGGAATGTTTTCAGCTCAAATCTCAATTTCACTTTTGTTATCAACAACAAAACTCTCCACACAATTCAACACCAAAGACTCCATTAGGATTTTTTTGTTTACTGTTCATATTTAGATTTTATACCACGATTCATTTCTATTCTTTTGCAACCTATTCTCTAGGCACTCCAAAACAATACAGTGATTATTTCTCATTTAAATTTGAGCTGTCTAGTAACAAATTAAATTATGCACTCATGATAGATGCACACTAAAGTCATGATGGTTTCTAGGTCATGACAAGTATACGAGGCTCGGAGTTGTTAATTTCAGCATCTGGATTTTATACTGAAGTAGATGTGTTAGTACCACTCACTCTTAAGTGAATAATAAAAAGGTGTTGAATGGAGTTCATTGCCTGCTAAGTGTGCATAGGATTCTTGCACAATGCAAAGGCAGAATGCATTAGTCCTGGGAATGAAAAGGTTTAAAGCAACTGGCCCTCCAGGTGTTGCTGTCCTACAACTCCCATTGGCCACTGGGCATGTTGACTGGGGCTGATGGGAGCTGAAGTCCACCGGTATCTGGAAAGAGGACTACAAGTTCCCCATCCCTGGTTTAAAACACTAAAGCCCTGATGAAGTCTTTGGTGGACTCCATATAGCATTGCACCTTTCTGCTTCAGAAGAGAGGTCTTCATCTTGTTTATGTCAGTGTCAGGGAAGCTTAACTTGAAACTTCAGCTTGGGGAACTGGTAAAAGACCTTGGGAAGAATCCAGTGCTGTGGGTGGGTGCTGTGGGTGGTGGCCTGCAGTCGAAGGTAAAACCAGGTGAGTAGAAGACAGCAAAGGAGGTGAGTGTATACAAGTCACGTTGGATAAGACTTGTTTTCTTGAAGAGGAGGAGCGCTTATAGGATTAAGGGCCAATGTCAAGGGAGTCCCAGTGCATGCACAATAAGCATGGGCAAATCTGTTGGTTGTGGTTTGTCTCTGCTTCTCATTTTCCCAATCAATTATTTTTCTCCACATTTCCACATCAGCTGGCGATTATTATTTTTTTAAGCAAGTCCTCATGAAAAGTCATCAGCATTTCAGTGCAAATTTCTCCTGCTATTTATAGTCTCCTGCAATTTTGCCTATATACTTTTTTTGCGGAGCAATTCTGCCTAATATCACACATGGAGTTATAGTAGATCATGGAGGAGAAGGCTAGCAGCGACTATGAGCCATGATGGCTATGCCCTGCCTCCACAATTACAGGCAGTAATGCTTTGAATACCAGTTGCTGAAAACTACAGAGGTGTGTGCTCTTGTGCTTGGATCCTGTTTGTGGGTTTCCCAGAGTCATCTGGTTGGCCACTGTGAGAACAGCATGCTGGATTAGATGGGATATCAGCCTGATTCAGCAGGCTCTTCTTATGTTCTTACATATTTGTATGCTCTTTTTGCTAATATACATTTTATCCATGTTTCTAGATTCAGGTAGGTAGCCTTGCTGGTCTGACACAGTCAAAATATATTTAAAAAATTAAATTTTAATTTTTTTAAAAATTGTTGGTCTCTAAGGTGCTACTGGACATTTTTTTATTTTTCTATATATTTCGATTTTATCCATGTGTATAGATTTTTGTACACATTGCCTAGCTGGAGAAATGTTCTGAAGAATTTGTGCAAATTGTGAAGGGTCTGTCTTATAATTCACACATAGGTTTGAGAAGTGTAGATTATGTAGTTTCTTGTTAAAACACAAATAAGATTGAACTCTCCTCCCCACCCCACCCCACACATTCCTAATTCACATAGGTAAAAAAATTATGGTAGGTAAAGGACCCCTAGAAGGTTCAGTCAAAGGCGACTATGAGGTGCGGCACTCATCTCACTGAGAGACACATTTACAACTTATTCATACTGAGAAGTTGTGCTATGTATAAATTATCTGAACAGCTCTGAATAAATTGTAATAAGGAAGAGATAGAGGTTTTTGAAAGTATGGTAGTGCTTACTGATGGTCCCTAGGCAAACCAAGTAAAGTCACTGGCCCAGATCACATGCAACACTCAGTCAAACCATTACTTAACATGAATTCCCAGACATGCAGCTTCCCAGCGAGAAGATTGTGGATGTTTTGCACCTTCTCCAATCCTACTGCTGCCACATTGCTGTGAGAGAAAGCCATGGTTTGGCATTACATTTGAGCCTGGAGCAAGATAAACCATGAGTTCATACATAAACCATGACTTGGATCACAGCCATGTGAAGTTGTAGTAGGAGCAGAGGTGGTAAAAGCAGCCACAAACTCTCCAGTGACCCGAGCATTTGTTTGCTTGCCCTAGTGTTATATCCAAACTTGGTCCAGCTAACTTTTTATCTGCTAAGAATTCCTCAAAGGAATGGTAGTTATATATGGCCCACATGTAGATTCAAAGGACTCCTCATGCCACTCTTGGCATCTGGTTTGCTGCTAAACTTGGCTAAGGAATAAAGAACTGGAAAGATAGAGAACCGCTGTAGATATTACAAAGAGAGAGCCACAAAAATTTATAGATGTGGGTGTTTTGTGGTGTTATTTGTAATAACTTTTCTATACAACCATGTCTCATTTTCACACATAGCATTCAACCATCTTTAACACACGCACAAACTGCTCATCACAAACTACTGGAGCCTATTGCGCGATAGGTGCTCCTCATGCATGTACACTTTGCAGCATCAACACCATGTTGTCAGCATCTAAAAATGGCAGTCCACTTCTCCCCCACTACCCCATTTTAATTCAGATTTACCCATTCCACAGAAAATCCAATAAGCAAAAAACACCCCACCTGTTACAAATGACCCATTTGCAATACCTGAACGACCCATCAATAGTAGTAAGGATTATTAGGCCTATTAATAGCAGTAAGACTTAGTATTAAAGTATTAACAGTACAAAAAACACCCTGACACACACACACTTCACAAATATACACACCCCATACACACACGGCTTGTTTACTTCTTTAAGACGACAGAGAAAGGGGAGAGCTCTCTGAAAACTACCAGGGGTGAGAGGGAAACATGTTTGGGAGCCAGACATTATGCCACATGAGAAGAACGGCATTCTTCTATTCGAGCAACGAAACTGGAACTTGGCTTTTTCTTCAGCAACAACACAGTGTCCTCTGAGGACATTAGGATAACTTAAGGAGTGCAGAGCAGGCTATGTGGCAGACGTACATCTTTTCCTCAACATCTCAATTACTGCCCGCTCCCCTGGCAAGTTTCTGGTGGTAGATACAGCTGCTTCACTCTGTCCTTTTCCTCTGCTCCCTTTAGGCCAGCTGTGGGGAACCTGTGAGTTTCCAGGGGTTGCTGGACTACAACTCCCATCACTCCTGATCATTGGTCATGCTGGCTGGGGCTGCTGGAAGTTGAAGTCCAATAACATCTGGAGAGTCACAGGTAACTCATCCCTGCTCTGGGCCATAGTCACCATTCTGCAATTGCAACACTGTAAAGTGGAGACACAATCTTGATTTCTATTAATGTGTGTAGGACTGAACTCATTACCCTTTTTCTCTTTCACACGAATAATCAGTACTACTCTTCTGATTCATTCAAGGAATCCCCTGGCTTGTTTAAATCATAAAACACCAGCAGCTTCTGGAATATGGCATATATACAACTTCAAAAAACTTTCCCCCTCAACAATGGAATGTGGTTGTTTTCTTTCCAGTAACATTACACCGAAATAAATGAAGACGCAACCGTATATGAAAACATCAATACTGTATAGATAAATTGCCTACAAAAGTTTTAAGAAACCTCATGACCATATATACAAAGATAGACAGGACATAATGCTCAACAGCATTCGGAAAAGATTGTCAGAATTAACTAAACCTATTTGGTAAAATGAAGCAAATTTACCAGAAGGACTGATATTCTGGTGGGCATTAATGCAGTCTCACAGGCACATTAGAAGACTGTGAATGTTGATGCGTCACTGTAATATTCTTTTGTTTTCATTTTTCATTCTATAACTCACCAGTGAATATCATTTTTTTGTTTTGCTTTGTTATCTTCATTTACCAACTAGTTTTGCAATTCTTCTTATGCATACAATTTCTGGCTAAAACGCAGGCAGATGCAGAAAGTAAACGGAACCGCTGGAAAGTAGAAGGCTCCAGGGAATGCACATTCAAAACTTTTTCATAACTATTTTCCATGCTTCTTTCTGCTGCTTGCTTGCATAGAAAGCAGAGTTATCATTGAAATGGTCTAAAGAACAATTGAGAGGTCTGTTTTTATGACAACTGTTAGAGTGTGAACAATTTTAGTGCCAAGATCACTAGTGATATTTGATATTCTATCCAGCTGCATATAAAATAGTAACTTTAAGGAACTAAGATAGTCACTCTACTCAAAACCAAAGAAGTAAATACTCACTCGTTCATATGACGATGTGCTCCAAGAATATGGGGAAGCCAAGAAGAAAATCTGACCGAATGATGATAAGTCACAGAAAGTTAGACAAAAGGAACAGTCGAGGCTAACCAGTATAAATCCTCTCTTCCTCCCCTTGCTTGTATACTCTTAAAAACTAAATGCAGTGCATTGAAGAAGGAAACCCACTTTTCAGCAAAGACTACAGCCTTCTGTCAGTCAAACACTGCATAGTTTCAACTAGGCATCTATCCAAAAAGACATGGAATTATTCTATTTTTGTCTCCCTTTGCAGTAGAAACATTTTTACAGATTTGTGGCAATGGCTTGAAGTTTTATGGTGGTCAGCTGGAGGAGGAGAAGCATAATTAAAGGCCCTGGTGAGGTTAAACTAGCCCAGAGAAAAGGAGCTGAGCACATTCAAAGAGCAAGATAAACATAGATGCTTTTTTTTCCAGGGGCCTGTAATGGAGGAAGCATCACACACAAATAAAAATGCCAGATGCCCTATACAGGAAAAATCTGTAAATGCAGTTTAATCACAAAAATGTTTAAGAACTGTCAAGATTCTTTTTTCCCCTGAAATGAAATTTTGGACTTTTTATATTTAAAAAAAGACATAGCACAAATATATTTACCATCTGGAGAATGTCACAGGTGTTTCCTTCAAAAGTAAATCTTATTTTGCTCAATTGCTTATGATAACTAAAGCACATCTTTTGGCACTACAGTCCTATACCCACCTTCTAAGGAATTTCACTGAACACAGTGGGACTTATTTCTGAGTAGATATGTATAGGATTGCACCGTCAATAGTCTTCTCCAAATGCTGTCACATCCTGCCAAAAAGTTCCCAGTTCACTCTTCCCTTGCTTCTGCTCTTGACTACTGCTTATGGTTTGTTGGGAGAACACGTTTGCATGTCACACGCAGTCAGCCTCTAGGTGCTTTCTTCCTCAGCACAGCGACAGCAGGATTGGCAGAGGAGTTAATTCATAGAACCATTGAATCAGAAGGGATCCTGAGGATCATCTAGTCCAACCCCCTGCAGTGCAGGAATATGCAGCTGTCCCATATGGGGATCAAACCTGCAACCTTGACATTATCAGCACCATGCTCCAACCAACTGAGCCATCCAACTGGGAGCTTTTGATAGCAGTGAACAGATGTTGCTGGACACCAACTCCCATCAGACCCAACCGGTTTCCCCACCACTCTGGGCGGCTTCCAACAGAATATTAAAATACAATAGTTTATTAAACATTAAAAGCTTCCCTAAACAGGGCTGCCTTCTGTTTCCTATCCTCCCCCCCCCCCAAAAAAAAACCCCTTTTGTTTCTATTTGGTCTTTTAAACTAGTCCCTTTTATTCTCGTTCCTCTCTGGAGTCTACTTGGTCTGCTTGGTTGCTTTTCTGCTAGGGGACGTTGCTTGCATTGTTACTCCTTAGTGCTATTCTACCTCCCTGATGGAAAAGGCCAATGGCCCCTCGAGTCCAGCCCCCTGTTCTCACAGGAGCCTACCAGATAACTATGGGAAGCCTGCAAGCAAGACCTGAGTGCAACAGCATTCTCCATACTTGTGAGTATCAGCAACTAGTATTCAGAGGCTGACTACCTCTGACAGTGTAGACAAAATATAGCCATTGTGGCTAGCCTTAAAAAAAGGTAAAAGTAAAGAACCCATGACAGTTAAGTCCAGTCGCAAATGACTCTGGGGTTGTGGTGCTCATCTCGCTTTACTGGCCGAGGGAGCCGACGTTTGTCCACAGACCGTTTTTCCGGGTCATGTGGCCAGCATGACTAAGCCGCTTCTGGCGAACCAGAGCAGCACACAGAAACGCTGTTTACCTTCCCGCCAGAGTGGTACCTATTTATCTACTTGCACTTTGACTTTTGAACTGCTAGGTTGGCAAGAGAAGGAACTAAGCAATGGGAGCTCACCCCATCGCGGGGATTCGAACTGCCGACCTTTCTATTGGCAAGCCCAAGGCTCAGTGGTTTTACACCACAGCACCACCCACGTCCTGGCTACCCTTTCCCCCCATTAATTTGTACAAGCCATCCAATTTATTCCAGTCTCTTTGTGGACAAAATCAGGCCAGTTCTAAGTTCAGCCTAAATGAGCAGGGAAATGTTTAAATATCTCCAAAAACAAATGTACGTACCATATTTACTCCATATTCAGTAAATACTTGGGTTATGCCACCAGGCAACCCAAAGCAAGCCATATGCAGCCACTACTTCCACTGTTCCTTCATACTCCTCCGATATATATAGTTTAGCCCCCATTAATATCCTCTCATTGCACACCATTTGAGAAGTCTGAAAAGGCAGCCTTGGGATATGATCACAATTTGCACTGCATGTATCTCACTAGACTAGCGGCACTGAAGAGAACATTTTCCATTGAAAAGAATTGTCAGCAAAAGAGATCATATCTTTCTCAGACAGCAGTGTTTTCCCTCCCCAATACTTTTCCCCCTCTTTATTTCTCAGCTCAGATCTTTGCATATCTTTCTTGATGCCCAAGAAAACAGCATAATGGGAAACCCACACAGGAAATATCTCAAAAATATGCATGCGAGGAAGCCATGAGAAACTGAGATGCACACTCAACTCTTTGCGCTGGAAAGGTGTGCCTCTGTTTCTTTATCTGGAACAAGATTTCTTTTCAATTGGATTCAAAACTACATTTGTTTTTTGCTGCTTTTGAAAGAAGTAAATGATCCCACATGTGGAAATTCTATGCTTCCAACATGAAATGCAGACGGGGCACACCCAATGTTGTTTTTTCCCCCTAAAAGCAAGAAAAACCTACGCTTAAGAAAAGTGAACGGTATATATAATTAAGCAAGCCAATACGAATGCATCAAACAGCATTTTCTTTTCTTAGCTTAGTAATTGTCCCTTAAAAACTAAACTATCTCTCTACAGGATGTTAGTCTGGTAAATTACAGGTTTTGGCTGAAGTCTCTCTATTTCTCAGAGAACAGAAGGATTCGTTGCAAGATCCCAGCAAAGACAGAGTAGACTACACAGCTGGCCCTGCTGCTTAAAGTTTCATCTTTTGAAAAACTCTATATACTTACAGTTTCTCACTTTCTTAGATTTCTGAAGAACAAACTGCTCAGTTAAATTTTCTCTAAACTAGCCTGGAGGAATAAATCACCACTGCAATCCCTTTTGTAACCACTTGGATCTATTTTTTGTTTCCTCTTTCTCCTCCCCTCACGTGGCTTTCCTGCAAACTTCTGCTCTTTCCTGGATGGGAGCATTTACTAGAAGTTGATTTAAAGAAACAGTCACCCTAGGAAGAAAGCAAAGGACATCTTCTTCCATCTACCCCCCCCCCCCATGCTCAGAGTCATTAAAAGAGAATTGGCAGAAAGGCCTTAAGGATCAAGGCAAACAATAAGAGTGACTGACTGAGTGAGTGCGTGAGGAGTACATGGAAGAAGAACAGGTGTCCTGACTTGAATTAAACTGATTTCAAAGAAGTCTTTTCTAGAAGCTGGAAACAGGGACTGGACCTGCGAAAGAAAGAAAGAAAGAAAGAAAGAAAGAAAGAAAGAAAGAAAGAAAGAAAGAAAGATCTGTGCAGCAACAGATTGATTCTTGATCTCTTTAACTATTCCCTGAAGGGATCCTGCAGACAGAATGGGAAATTTCACATGGAGGAGAGCCTACATAGTGGTCTACTTTGCTGCCTCCATTGCATCCTTATTTTGCCGTCCTTCAGAAATTTTCTGGGCAATGCAGGGGTTTTTTTCCATCTGGCTGGAAGGAGGGGCAGAACCTATAGTATCTCACTGTGACTCCACTGTTACAGCTGTTGAATCTCAAGGGGTGTCCAGAACACCGTCTAGTCTTGTTATGTTGGATGAGTTTCCGTTGGCAAGGCTTGAGGATCTAGGTGTTCCCTAACAACCTCTTTTCCTATCCTGGGCTGCAGCTCCTTCCCTGCATCATTCATTCTATCATTCATCAGGTTAAGCACTATTTCCCTTTGGGGAGAAAACAGAGGCAATGTAGGTGTTGAAGTAGTTCCACCATCTCTCTGTCACTCAATAGCATGTCTCCACCTTCTCCACACAGGGGACCTACTACTTCCTTGTTCTTCCTCTTGCTTTGAACATAGCCAAAGAACCTTTTATTATTATTTGTAACCTCTCTTGCAAGCCTCAGCTCATTCTGAGCTTGCCTTCTCCCTGCAAGTAGTGGCTTCTCATTTATACTCTCCCTTTGTGATTTGCCCTTTCATCCATTTCTTATACATGCCCCTTTTAAATTAGAAAGCTACTTATGCAGCCACCGCAGTTTCCTTAGATGCCTCCCACTTTTCTTCCTTTCTGGAATTGTTTGCCTTTGTGCCTTCAATATCTCTCCTTTGAGAAACTCCCATCCATCATGCCCTTCTCTTTGAGTATTTCTGGCCATGGGATCTCACCCAGTAGTTTGTTTCACTTCTCCCACACCCAGAAACTACACTGACTGCTCTATGGTTTCAAGTGCAACAGTTGGGGGGTGGGGGGGTGGAAGTAGCTATAACACGAATGAGCTTTCTTTCAGGCTCTTTCCTTTGACTTGTAAAAAGAAGGCATTGTTATTGGTGATCATGCTCATATTTATTTGTCTGAGATACTGATAATGCCTCCAAGGGCTTCTCATAAGTCTAGACATGTGTCTCAGTATGAATGTTGTGCAGAATATTAAGGTTCCGGGGTCCATCCATCTGCTCAAAGATATAATGAACTCTTCACTCAGCAAACCCTGTAATTATTCTCAGGATAGCTCTGAGGGCACCAGGCATGTATCATGAAGAAAAGGTTTCATTATCTCCTTAGCTTGTGAATAGGATCATTTTACGAGCATCCTCTAGGGAACGATTTCTTATATTGTTCATAGCCCCTTGGGGCAATTCATTCATTCAAAAAAAAAATACTTTCTCTAGGATTTGCAAGCTGACCAAGGCTTGGCCTGCACAGTGACTTTTCAGCATTATCTATCAGTATTATCCAAGCTGATCTATTGATCTATGTGTAAATATCAAGCTGTTGTCAAAGGCACAGCAGCAGAGGTCTGTAAAAAAGCAAGTTGCCAACCTAACCTTTGTAACAAACCCTATAAAGCAGGACTGCTAATGACAGCCTCCCTCTCTGAGCAGATGCA